ACATAAATATTCAGTGAGTGATCAGTTTTGTTCTTATCAGTATTAGCTACTACTGATATCTATTTATGATAATAACTACAAGTATATAATATTTATTCTTCACAATTGAAACACATTACTACATATATGAGGTCATTTAATTCTCACAATCTGAAGGTAGGACTCGGTCCCCCCACTTTACTGAAGAGGAAATGAGACCCCAAGGTTAAGTTTACCTGCCCAGGTCACAGAGCCAGCTAGTGACTGAGCTGGAGTTTGGACACAGCCTGTCTGGGCCCTGCAGTTGTCTCTATCGTCACAACCCTGGCACACCTCCCTACACACACTCAGCGGCAGAAGCCACTCCTCACCCACATGCCCATCTCACACTCTGCAGAAAGAGGAAAATCAATGAGACTTGGATTCCTGTCCAAACGTTCAGCCTCATCATTACTCTGTGTCCCCATGAGCAACTGCATACAAATGGATGCATTTCATTAAAAGCCTCCTTCCCTTCCTAATCATCATGAGTAGATTAATTATTTAACCAGTCCAAGAGGGTGTTTAAAAAATCAGTTTATGTAAGTAGATAAAGTAAACCCCTTCCTAGGCTCAAAGGCTCAAGGGCTTTGAGTCAAAATAAAGTTCTACTTTTTACCTAAGCTCTGTTCTCCATCCCTATAAAGCCATCATCATGAAATGTGAAAACCAACCAATCCTGCAGTGGTTATTTCTGGGCATAGCACTAAGACTTCATGCAGAATAAAAGCAAAATGTGGAAACTGTAAAACCCTTCACAGATAGTGCATGACCCCTCCCCAAATGTCCCTGATGCCAGAGGGCCAGCACCTTCCAGGCATTTTTCTTTCCTGTTGAACAGGGCTACAACTGCCCCTCAGGTAAGAAGCAAACCAGATCAGCCAGATTCACAGATAAAGACAGGCAGGGGACTAATCCGAGATGCCTTTGAAAAGAACAGTCTTTACCATTTAAGAGCTGGACTAAATGAAGAGAAATTCTGCTCCTAATTGGTGGCTCCTTCTTAATTAAGTGGGCCAATTTAGCATAGGAACGCAGTGTTTTATTTGTAAATCGTTACTATCTCTTCAAGAGAGAAATGTGGAACAAGAATTCTTGGCTGGCCTTTTTGCCATATGAACCATTCCGCCCACTTCTCTCCATTATTTCTCTGTTTTCTTGCAGTGGAAAAAAACTGTTTACATCTTTCCCTGGAAATTTAAAAGTGATTTGGCTTGGCTTCTAATTCCAACATTTTCAAACCCTCTACCTTTGATCAATCATAGAAGTAAAAGCTAAATGTCAATACAAAACGAGAAATAATATTTCAACCTCCAGCTGGCACTGAACAGCCCAAGGAATCTCCCACTTGCAGAAGTGCAAGGTCATAGGATCACTGAAGTGGGCTAAAGGCCCAGGAGCCGGTTAGATTAATGGGGACTTGGGCTCAGCGTGTTTGTTTTTTTAAGGGTGACCTAAACACAAAGTATTTATCATCTTTTCTGGCTAGGATGGAGAAGGAGTCAGCCACTTCAGATAGGCCATTATGAGTCACAGGTGGAGAAAGGAGAGATTCTTTTTGTTACATATTTTTGTAAATGTTTAGGAAGTGATAAAACAGCTGCTGCTGTCAGTAACTCATAGAGAAAATATGCAATAAATGTATTCCTGCTGCCGCTGGAGCTGGCATCAGGCTGGAAGTTATTCTTCTCTGGGCAGCAAAGCCAGGCACCAGTTTCCTGAGCACCAAGTAGGTAATGCAGAGGCCCCAGCCCCAGGTGACACTTCAACTGTGACCTTGGAAGTGACCTTGAGGTAGGGAACCCAGCAAGGAGGCACCCAAGGTGCTGATCCCCAGAAACTATGAGATATATTGGTGGTGTTTTAAGCTGCTACCTTTTAGAGTAACTTGTTACTCAGCAGTAGGTAACTGATACAACAGCCACTGAAAGACTGGCTGTGTGTCCTGATGCCCGCTGTTGCCCTGCATCCTGCCCTCTGCTCCTTGGCACTGTCATACATGTCAAGACAAAGCCAAAGCCCACTTCTCTGCTCCCATAGGGCAGGCACTGGGCCACCTTTGTCACTTACCACTCGAATACTCAGCATCCTACACAGTACCCAGCATGCGGCAGGGGTTTCAATAAATGTTTGAATTGATGAACTATTTCTGTTAAGCTGAAGACCAGAGAGGAAAGAAATCTTTGTCTTATTTATTCTTTTTTAAAAAGAAGAAAACACAGCAGCTCTTGGGAGGACCCAGCTAGGGACAGGAGCCTCCAAAAAAATGACAGACGCGTGTGTCTGGGTAAAAGAAGCGAGGTGGGTGAGCCCTGCTCCTGGCCAAGCATCTGAACCTGGCCAGCACGAATGTCTTCCCGGCTCAAAGGCTCACTGTCAGAGTGCTTGTGTCCTCAGAGGTAGAGCCAGACTCCAGGAAGCAAAGGACACAGGAAGCCTGGCTCTGTGCTCCAGCAGAAAGACACAGTCTTTGCCTCTTTACCCACTGTCCCTCTGCTCAGGATGCTCCTTCCTCAGGGCCCACTTTCTTCCTTGATTCTGAGGCAAACTGTTACTCATCTTTAAAAAGCCAGCCTGGCATTGGCTCCTCCAGTTCAGGGCACCTCCCCTCCAGCTATCCCTGGCCCTGCAAGTCTCCTCAAACAACTGGGAGCTCCTTCTCCCCAGGCCTAAAAAAGGCAGCACTCACAGGAGCAAGTCCATCCAGACTGGTTCTCACTTCCCAGAGAGTTACCAAGACTGGCGGCTTTCACTCCTCTGGCCCCTGAAGTTGGGCACAGGTTGACCTTCCTCAGAACTAGAAACCAAGAAGTGACAGGAAGACATGAGGTGAGCAGAAAGCACATGCCCGAGACAATGTTCCATCTTGTGAACTTGGACCTGTGCGGGGGCGGGGGGCGGGGGTGTAGAGCAGCTGTGAAAATACCTCAGTGGGTGTCGAGGGGTGGTTTCCCCACTGGCCTGTTCCCTCCAGGCCGTGGTTATGCAACCATGCTACACAGAGCACCAATGACTTCGGTCAGCTGTTCCAGGCCCAGGGAGCCCAGCCCACACTGGAAGGAATGGGCTGAATTCCCGACTCCAAAGGGTAGGAACTGACAGGCAGTACATGGCTGTTCAGTTTCCAGTGCTCCTGAGGCTGGGAGATGCAGACAGCAAAAGGATCCACACATAGCATCTCCCCAGTGCCATGGCCCCAGGAGGGCTACCGTGGTGCTCAGGGAGGGACAGTCCAGCTCTCTCCTGACCTGTTACGTTCAGAGGAGGGGGATCCATTCTGAGACCGCCACAGAAGAATGAAGAGGTCAACACAAGTACGGACTTTCAAGCAAGTCCTTTGGAGCAATAATTCTAAACAACAGAAGCAAGAGGCAAGACTGTATATTCACCAACTGTGTTCACACACACTATACTTACCTGCATAGAAAAGAAGTCTGGAGAAAATACACCAAAATATAAATAATAGTTACCTGGATAGGAGATTATAGGTATTTTTGAAAACAGTGTTCCTTTATAGTTTCCCAATGTATTCTAACATCTCCACAACAAACTAACTACTGCTATAATTGGGGCCAGAAAGGTGTGCTATGTTGGAGGAAAGAGTCAGGGCTATGAGTGTCCTAATGCTACGGTAACAAACTGCCACACCTTGTGGGCATATAACAACAAGGATGTATTATTCTTTCATTGTTCAGGAAGCCAAAAGTCTAAAATCCTAATGTTGGCATATTTGGCACTTTCTCAGGGTTCTGGGGGAGAATTTACTTCATGCCTATCTCTTAGTTCCTCCTGGTTGCCAGGAATCTTTGGCATGCTTTGGCTTGTGGTCACATCACTTCAATCTGTTCACTTGGCATGCTCCCTGTGTCTGAAGGTAGGATAGTACTTGCATAGACACAAAATCCACATAAGGTCATAGCCACATATAGGCATTAGGACTTTAGCATGTCTTTTGGAAGAGGAGGTACAATTTAACCCATAACAAAACATGGTTAATCTGAAAGAAAATAAGACAAATATCTGTGCTTAAATATCCGACAGGCTTTCCCAGTTTGAAAAAGATTAGACTTGGACTGAATGGCTCTACAAAGAAGAAATGGGACTCACATGTGAATAGTTCCCAAAGATAGGCTTGCTCTCAAAATAAGAAAAACTGGCCAAGGATTCAGCTCAGTGCTTCTGCCGCCTGCCTCGCAAGCACAAGGTCCCAAGTTTGATCCCTGGTACCATAAATAAATACATAAATACAGGAAAAACTGAGCTGTCCTGACCTACACTGGCCATCTAGGGTGAGAAATCCTGTCTCAGAAGATGCTGAACAGACTGGAAGTCCACTTATATCTGATATGGTAGCATTTTAGGAGCACTGAACTAAATAACATTATAGGCCCCAGCCTTCTGTGATTCACAGAGGCATCACCAGTGGCTTCTGCATTGCCCCTGGCTGGCCAGGCTACCTCCCACCTATCTGCTCAGGATCACTCAAGCTTCACCTCATCCAGATGGGGAAACCTCAGATCTTAAAGGCAAAGCAGCACTGTCCAGCTTATTTCCTCCTTTTGGTCTCAAGGAAAACCAGAGAGAGAACGTTCATGACTGACAAGGGAAAAGGGCATCAACCAAGTTAGGAAACATGGGATTCTGTGAGTCAGACAATAGGAGAAGCCCCACAACCCTGATCTTAAGCGTGTCCCCAAGCCCTGAGAGCACTAGGAATCATCCCACATTCCCAGGTCAAAGCTGGCAGAGGCAACAGCCCACAGACCAGGGTCAGAATTGCTAAGGAAATAATCTACAATTTGTTTAAAGGAAGGAAGATTGCCCCCAGAATAATATTTACATTAGAAATAACAGTGACATTGCAAGTTAAGCCTGTTTATTTTTTTAAATAGAGGCAAAATCTTGTTTGCGATGGGAAAGAAACATTGCTTTCCAAAGCATCTTTTGTTTTCACCCCAAACACAAAAATAAGAATCGCTCACCTCTCCACAGGATCCCTGAGCATGACGATCAGCTTGGCATCTGGCTGAAAGGCGTGGATGAAATCCTGGGTCAGGAAGGGCGGCTCGCCGTCTGTGCTGTTGTCATAGAAGAAAGTCCATGCATTGTTATCCCACATGGTGGAAGCACTGGCCTCCCCTGGAAATAGAAGGTCCTGCAAATGAGCAGCTGCTGAGCTACGGGGCACAGCCTGACACTGTGTGCTGGAGGCCAAACCCAGCTTCCACGTCTTACTCTTAAATATCTATGGCAGGCAAGCTCATCAACTATCCCTGGCAGATAGGACTCCAGAGCAAGGAGAACTGCTGCCCATCCCTGCTGCAGTGACCCCTACTCCTACCCCAAACCTCTGTTTGAAAACCCAGGAATCCATGAAACACTGAATGCCTCCTCTCTAGATCTTTTCTTCATGGTAGACAAAAATAGAACCCTTTTAAGGCCCTTAATTTCTCAATATTTAAATTTGCTGATAGCTCATATCTCTGTGGCATTTTAAGGGCCCATTGAGAATGTGCTAGATAGTTTCCTTCAAAAATTATCAGGGAGAAAGGAGTAGTTTGGGGGAATGAACCCTCACTAGGAAACCAGATGCACTAGGAAATGAGATTTGTATCCCTCTTTCCTTGAACAGGAATAGGGTGCACTCTAGATCCTAGTGAGAAGGATGCTTTTCCAGAAGCACAGGGGCCTCAGCATCAAGGTCTGTCTGTTGCATGACCATCTGTCCACTGTCCTCACTCGGTACTGACTATGAGAACCGATCCCAGACCCTGTTTTATCACAGTTCATGTGGCAAAAGGATGAGAATATTAGACATACCATGGAGGATAGAGGTGAGGCTGAGATAGGCATTGCGATCACACAGACTCTCTAAAACTGAGCCAACTCTCTGATTTTTTTTTTAAGGACTATCCTCAGAGATTTCGAAAGAAAAGCAAATCAGTCAATCAGTGATGCAATTCCTGGACACCATGCACAGGACTATACAATAATCTCCAAGGCAATTTTTCAGGGAAAATCTGAACTAAAAGATTAAGTCCCTTTGGTTGGTGATAAGAACATTATAATCAAGAAAGAAGTTAACAAGGCCCCATTTCTTCTGCCAGATGTGTAATCATATCAGGTGAACATTTCTATTCTGGCCTTTCTTCCTTTCTTATATTTTAAAAGAGATAATACCCTAGGATACGGAAAAGATAAGTCAGAGATCCTTTGAAAATTCTACTCACAATGAAAAGGGAATATAAAAGACAAGTGAAGTATCTAAAACTGAATTAGCACAAATTCTGACAGATCTTAAAAAGAAACTGGTTCTAGAACCATAGAAGCATGTGTCCACTTACCAGGGGCCGTGTGTCCATCATTCATCTGTCTCGGAGGCATTCAAGTGATAGCTAATTTGTGCCCTGCACTGTGCTTGGCACTGGGGACAGATGAGACAGACATGGATGTACCCTGTTGGACCTTACAATCTAAGGTGAAGACAATTCAAGAACTACCAGCTATCATGTGAAGTTGCCAAGAAGAGGCAGGGCACAGGGCCATGTGCGAAGATGTAGGGACTTCTCAGCATGCCCAAAGTCCCAGCCACTTAGAACCTGGCCTCTTGAATCCCAAGGTTCCTGTGTGTCTCTCATTGCAAGACTGCGGAAAGAAGGCCCCCTCTGATCCACGGGCCCCGGGCAATGAGAACTCCCTGCCTTTGCCAAGGATAGCAGAAGAGAAACTAAATCATATTCCAGGGCTGGGAGAAGCCTGGAACCGATCTGGTCTATCACTTCCACCTTACAGACCTGTTGACCAAGTTCAGGACAGAAGCTGAACTTGTCACATGGCACAGTGCTGGCTGTGACACAGGCAAGACCAGATGTCAGTTTCTCATCTGCCTCTCTGCTCTACCTATCACACCATGAAGCTACCATTACACATACCAAACCCTGCTTGAAGTAAATATCACTGTGGTATTTTTATTTCTTCATCTTCTTTTTATAATCTAGCAGTAACTAAAAATCAGAAAACCAAACGAAAGCTTGCCTTTTTCCATTCATTATCTAAGCCTCTGTTTCCTGGTCCTAAGATGAATATTTTAGCTCTTTCATAAAACTTGACATATTTCCAGAAGCATATGGTGTGGCAGTCACAACAAAATATTAATCAAATGTGTTATCTGGGGTGTTTGGATCCCCAAATTTTTAAAAAAGAAAAACTAATACCCAGTTCATACTAAGGTTATGGGATACAATCTCACTGCCTCCCAATGACTACACTTCTGAGTTTAAAAAGGCGGGGGCAGGGATTTAGCTCAGGGGTTCTGCTGCCTGCCTCAAAAACACAAGGACCCGAGTTCGAGCCCTGATACCCAAAAAAAAGGAATTAGTTCAGACTTAGGCATATATGCCTCTCCTTAGCCATGAGAATCCCAACAAAACATCCTTGTTCAAGTGGTTGATTACAATTTACCCTGCTCACTGAGATTTATTTAATTTAGAGAATCAGAATATAATAGATCTAGGAAAATAAAAGATAGATCACTGCCTCAGGTAAAGCAAAATGAATGATTAAATTTCTCTCTTTCAGAAAATAGTAGTGGATAAATGCCTTGTCCCAAGCTGACTTCACTGAAAAGAGTTATGTTGGAAGAACAAGACTAGAGGTCTAACACACAACATGATGACTACAGCTCATAATGTTCTGTTGCATATGGAAATCTACTGAGAAAACAGATTTCAGGTGCTCTTATCATTGAAAGGGGAAGGGGATGAATGGGAACTACATGAAGAGATAGGTATGTTAACTTGCTTTGCTACAGTAACCATTTCATTATGTACATCAAAACATCATTTGTAAACCTAAATATATAGAATAAATATAAAAATAATTAATATGTATTGTAATAAAACATTTTTGTGAATTTTTAAATAAATGATTAATGGAACAACCTCATTTTGAATGCCCAAAGCCATTAGGCTGATGAAGGTGAGGCTTTTTAAACAGTAATTAGTCCCAGATGCCATGTGGGGCTCTGCTTACTTCAGGAGGTGGACATGGTTGGGGTTACAACAGCCTGAGTATGAAATCCACAACTCATCAGTTGTATTTATGACCTTCCATCCAAGCTTAGATTGGCAGATTATGAAAGGAAGTCGAGTCTGGCTGGTTTAAATAAAAATAAATATGGCAACTTATTTTAAAAGCCACTTCAGCTGTCCTTGAGTCTACATGTATCGAGAAAGTTGACCAAACATTTCTGTTTCACAGTAACGGTACAAGTGATGTGAGCATTTCAGTAGCAGAGAGAATGAAAGAGTGGCAGCCAGGTAGGGAAATGGAGGCTCTGTGATCATCTGCATCCATCTGAAAATGCTTTTGAGCTGTGGCAGAGCTGGACACAACCCAGAGCATGAGCCGGTTGCTCCCTCCAACCCCCAGGAGGTTCACAGAAACCATACCAATAATGATTTGGTTCATCTTGCTCTGCTCCTTTGCGGAGCTGGCCTGCAGTCCTTGATGGATTTGGTGTGCAGCCAAGTCAAAGAGGTCCAGGTAATCTTCCACAGGATAGCGGTCTCGAAGCCCATCTCTCAGGCGGACGATTCCTACAGAAAGCAAGAAGAGGAAGTTTGAAGACAAAGTTGCCACTGCTAGCCTGGTAGCTTCCTGGAGTGACCGGAGAGGGAGGGAAAGTCCCACAGGGCCCAGCTATAGCAGCAAAAGGCTCAAGCCAGATTAGCTTCAGGAGGGGGCATGTGGGATAGGGATAGGGCCTCTGCTCACCAGCTGTCTTCTTTCAACACATGCATACTTCAAGGGGTGGAGGACACCAACATACCGGGCAGTGACTGCTTAAAGGATGGTACAACTATTCAAGATATAAACATGTTTCTGTGGAGGGTTAGAGTCTGGGGCTGGTCACAATACATACCAGTGGCCAGGTAGCAGTGGCATACAGGATGCACACAGTGTTATTAAATGAGAAAAGATGAGAAAGGGCCTGCAGTCAGGAGGAAGAACATTCAATCAACCTCATGGCACCTTTCTTCATGGGGGCCCCAACCAGCATCTGCGTGGTATTCTATCTCCTGACCTCTTTGGTCAAGAGGCCTACCATTTATTTGTCTGCAAAATAAGGAGAACTGGGTGGACACAGACTCTGGCATTGGCCAAATACAGCCTAAATTTGCCCCTTGCCTTAAAAATGGGTAAATTTCACTTGTAAACATTTTAAAAACACACTGACAAACCACAGCTACCAAAGTTACCACAAAGTAGAAAGACAATGTAGATGATCAAAATAATAGGAAGTTCAAGGTGACATTGAATACCAGCTTCCAAGGCACACCCAGTTTTTTTCTCTCTTCTGCCAGTGGGAAACTGTTTTTCACTAGGGAAAACAGTGAGACATGGAGGGGAGAGCCCCCTACAGTAGAAGAGTGTATTCAGACATGTCTGGCAAATGCATATGAACCTGATATCTTGGCTGTCCTGGTGGCGATTGCTAAACCAAGAAAGAAACACACTTCACTTTTGTTCACTCCATGGTGAACATCAAAAGTATAAAACCAAACATTTGTCAGGAAGTATATTCAGAGTTGGTTTAAGCAAAACTTTTAAGATTCTCTTCTAGGCAACCTGTGTCCTTTATGCAAAAAAACACCCTTATGGCCCGCCCAGACCTTGGCAGGCAACAGACCATGTATCATTCCATAACTCCAGTGACCAAATGTCTCCTGGCAGAAAGGAAAGGTTATGGAGAGGAAACAGTGACCAAAGGACCACAGGGTTCTTAGGGTTGAGCTGGAGCAGAACCACCCTGTGGAGAAGGATGGGCAGTATCCAGGGTCAACCATGTGGCAAAAGGGTGTGGAAAGCAGGATCTCTAATGTTCTCTCTTTTGAGTTTTATAGCAAAACATGTCATGCAAACAGGGCAGTCACTGAAACTAAGACCCAAGCATCTGTGTTTCCACTAGGCACGGGGGCTCTGGTGAAACAACACAGAACTGGGCACCAGCCACACCAGTCCAGTGGGCTGCTTCCCACTGACCAAGACTTCAACATGTATTGCTCAACATCACAGTCATGTGTCAAGGCTCTTTAGGGCAAGAGCTGCCCATTCTGCACCTGTCCCTGCTCTGCATACAGCCAACACTCAATCAGTGTTCACTGGGCAATTAGAAACCGGTTCACCGCCCTTGATGCCTCTTTGCCTGTAAACTGTTGCTATGCTTTGGAAATGGTTTGAGTGTGTTTCCCAAAGGTTTATTTGCTATAAGGTTGGTCTCCAGTGTGGTTGTTGACAGGTGATAGGACCTTTAAGAGGTGGGGCTTCGTGGAAGGTGATCAGGTCACAGGTGTACTGCCTGGAAAGGGATTGCTGTTAGTCTCTTGAGGTGAATGAGTTCCTGCCAGCGTGGCTTATTACAAAGTGAGGTCACCCTTAGCTCCTTCTGCCCTTTTCTTTACTCTGTAATGCTGACATGTAGCCAAGAGATTCTCTCTAGGATGGTAGCACCACAGTTTGGGCCCTTCAGCTGCCAGAATGGTGAGCCAAACAAATCTCTTTCCTTTGAAACTACCCAGCCTCTAGTATTTTGATACAGCAACACAAAACAGACTAATGCAACTTTCTAGTGGCAGGTGAAATGTCAGATCTTTGTGTCAGTATGTCTTCTCATCTCCCCTGTCCGATTTCCTAAAGGAGCCTCACCCTGGTCCCATACCCAGCTCTAAAGTGTGCTGAAGGAATTTTTTTAAAAAGTGTGGGGGGGGGGGACAAATGAGAGGAAACACGAAACTCACCAAACCGCTTCCGGGTCCACCAGTGCGGTTCCTTGATGGCAGAGAACTTCACTTCCGGGTGGAGCCGGAGACGATCATAGAGGTCAGTGGTCCCACACTTGGGCTGCCCAATGATGTAGAAGTGTGGCAGGCAGCGCAGGCGGAAGTGCTTTCCATGAGCGTGTGACAGGTGGCCCCAGAAGGCCTTGCGCAGGGCGTCAAAGGTAGAGCGGAAGCGCTTGGAATAGAGCACGTAGGAGTTGGTGAGGTAGGGGTCAGTGGTGTTTCTCCCAGAGAATTCCTCGTACCAACAGGGGCTCTTACTGTTGGGAAGGAACTTATTTGGGATGACTGAAAACATCTGAAATGAACAAAAAAGGGGGAAACATGCCAAAGGAAAAATACAATTAGTGAAAACACATTTTAATCACAATGTAATAGTGCCCTAATCTGGATTGCTACATTCCAATTTGAACTATATTTCACAGTGATTCAAAGATAAAGTTAAACTTGGTAGACAGCCAGTGACTGTGTATGTTTTCTATCTCCCAAAATTAATTTTTTTAAAATTTTGAAGAGTGACGATAAAAAGTTTAAGCAATATTCATTCTACCATGATCTATCTTTCCTATACACCACACACAGAGCAATCTAATTAAACAGGTGGAAATTTGTTTTACCAGTTATATTTTTAAATCACCTGTAGAAACAAAGCTACAGATTAGGACAAAACTTTTTTAAAAAATTAAATTACATCCAACTTTACATTTCTAAGTGATGGTGGCCTGCAAAAGCAACTTTAACCACACTGACTCCATTCCAAGCAAAAATGCAATTATGAGGAAGAGTTATTCTTAAATATGTCCAGCTGGGCCATTCAGAACAGCAAATTCCCTTCTTGGTGTTCCATCATATAAACAGTGTGCTCTGATCTGCAAGGTTGTCAGATTATCCTTGTTGTGGCTGAGAAATTTTTCAATCATTCTATGTTCCCAAAAATGGTGATAGCAAAGGATGTATCTATCTATTTTTTTAAGTCAGTGAAGATCAACACAATGCTACTCACATGCAACTCCTGCCTCTTGAGATCTTGTAAGTCTGGGAGCTGCCTGGTTGTGAACTCAATCCTGCCAGTGATGCTGTTGATAATTAGCTTAATGCTTGGATAGTCCTTCGTGTATGAAATATTGTTTACAGAGGGGTGGTAATGATGCTCTTTCATATCACTGGGATTTTCACCATCCATCAAGCTAGGGTTGTTGGGGAAGCCTCCATAATGGAAAGGAGATGAGATGAGAAGTTCCTGGTGGGCCCCAGAAAGGATGTAAGAAGCCATCACCAAGGTCATTATTACCAGTCCAAAAATGAGGCTACATCTCTTGCCCTTTTTAAAACGCAAAAACCCACCCCAATTCTCACTCCCTTCAGTCCTCACTTCAAGAACAGCAAGCAAGTTCATCTGCTTACTGTCTACACGAAACAGAATTTTGTTTTCTCCTTTGCACGTGGGGCACGCCTGGTGACTGTGCTGGAGGCCTCCTCGGCAGCTGACCTTCTGTTTGTGTGTGTTGTCAGGTAACAACTGTATGCAGCAATTAATGCAGTGACTCATGATAGTGCCCTTGGACTGCTGGCTTAGCGAGCCATGGGCAAGTCCTCCAAGGAGTCTGGACACGTGATTACATACGATGGTCAGAAGGCACAAGCAACAGAAACAAATATAAAAATAAGCAGCCACCAGCTCACTAGAGAATGAAAAAGCACATTATTTAGCTCAGCTCTACAAGACAACAAAAGGAAGTGATCTCTAATTGTCATGTTCCACAAGAGCCACTGAAACATGGAGGTTGTCACAAGTACAGGAGTGATTCTGCCTGTCCTTCAGGTTTTTCCCATTGCACCAAAAAAAGAAAGAACAGCGTCACTGGAGAACATGGAGACACACCAGAGATTCGAAGATATCATGGTCTTCTCACAGACAAATGGCCCAGCACGCTACCCATGGAGACACCTGTAAGATTTCTACTTTCACATTCTGTGTTCCTTTGGGATGTTTCCTCTTCATCGGGAACAAAGTCTTAAAAATGTCAGATTACCTAAACATAAACAAAGCAAGACTTATTACATGATGTAGTAACAGCCAGAACCCAGGGTTCATCTTCCAGGGAAAAATGGATGTTCACTTCTCTTTCCCATTTCTCACTTTCAGCCAAGCCAGCATGGTCACAACACTTAAGTCAAGAAAATCACTTGGATAAAAGGAAGGCTCCAGGTCCTTGTGCTTGGCTTTGATGTGGCCCCAAACACTGGCACCACATCCAACACCTCATATTGTGCACAATCCCCCATGTTCTCTAACCTCTGCCTTCGTACATCTAAGTTATGGCATCTCAGAGTCCTAGCCAGGACTTTGCATTCATCCTCAGATTTGGGCAGTCACAGCTCTGAATTTGAGGGTTGAATTGAAACACCAGGGGTTTTAAGTCAATAAAAAATATACAGAATAATTTTAGGGTCAGGGATTTAGCTCAGTGGTTCCACAGCTGCCTCACAAGCACAAGGACCTGAGTTCAATCCCTGGTACCCGCCAAAAAAAAAAATTTTTTTTTAAAGAGATGGTTAGTATGAGAACAAGCAGAGAAAATAGGTTCCGCCACCACCACCTGATAGCATCAGTAATCTCTTAGATACAGCAAGCCTTTACTATCAATTCTGAAAGCAAAAGTTAATGAAAATTTAGAAACAATGATTCACTTCTTTAGTACAGTGTATCATATAAAAAAAAATCTGACTTTAAGTTATTAAGCAATTAAATCCAATGTACAATATTCCCCTGAGCAATGAACACTTCAGACCCTGAAGTAATTTTTCACTTTCATCATCCTGGGGAAGACATGATTCTTAAAAATCCACTAACTCAATCCTGTGGTTGTAAAATGTATTGTTTCCCAAATGACACTTCTTTATAGATATCAAAAAAGGAGTACTGGATGAGCAAAAAGGGACCTACTTGGTTTCCAGCCTGGTAGAATCCCACCTACCAGCATTCTGACCCTAAGCAAGCCATCTAATCTCTCTGAGGTTTTACCACAGTTTCCTCACTGGTAAAACTGGAAAGATAATAAGTATCTCCATTACAAATTTGTAGCAAGTACTAAATTATTTATTATATATGTAAAGAGTTTGCATAATGCCTGACATATTTAGCATCCCATAAGAGGCAGACAACTGATAATAATAGCCTCATCAACTATATTATGATTTCTAATTGTCAATGAATGTCAAGATCATCTGAAGTACAATAAAAAATGACAGATCCTCTGCCACATTATTTTTTCTGCAGGGACTGAAATCTCCTAAAGATGGCAGACTCACCTCCAACTTTACACACACAACAATCTTTATTGTCCCTAGAGAGGTGGCAATAAGTAACCCTTCAATGAGGCCTCCAGGGACTGACTGGAGGATTGAACAATCAGGGTTTGTCAGGAGAAACTTTCACTTTCCTTGGACCAAAAAGACCATGTTTTCTTGAATTATCTGGTCAAGAAATAGCCAAGCAGTATTTCAGAAAACAACTTCCACTCAAAATGTTCTGCATGCCATCAGCAAGTATCTTTGCTTAAATTACTTGGAGAAAAGGTAGAATGGATAAAATGACACAGAATTCTTTACACCAGGGATTTTAATATGCCAGCAAACCCTGTGGGTCCACACTGGAGGAATATAATGCACAGAATGTGTGAAACATATTGGTCAATGAATTTCTCCCTGAGGTCTCAAGGAACCAGTCTGAAAAGCGCCAGTCAGGAAGGACTGTAATAGGGGCATTTGTGTGAGCACAGAGGAGGAGAAAGGAGGACAATTTGCTCCAGGAGACCAGGCAGACATCTCAGGCTCCGCTGTGCCCTCTTGCATCCCTTGGGGCAGCTGGAGGGGCACATCAGGAGCTCCAAGGCTGAAACTTCTGTGACCGATTTGCTTAATCACCCCTGACCCATTGCATGGTACAAACAAATTTTCCAAACCAAAGAAACAAAAGGGCAAGATCCCCTACTTAGAAACTCCATCACTGAAGCCAAGAAAACTTTTTTTTTCAAGTATAGAAGACGAGGTCAAGCCTGGTTAAAAAATGAGACTCCCACCAGGAGCACAGTGGGAGGGAGTTTGCACCGCCTTTCTGCTGTGGAAGGTCTCATCAGATTCTTTTTAAAAACAAACAAACAAAATGGACTCTGAAGCCACAGGACAAGAATGCACATAATCTGGACACAACAGAAATAGGCAAAACATTCTTAACCAAGAGCAAAGGTGTCCTATTTCAAACATCATAAATAATCTGTAGTAGGGGGGCAGATAATCTCAAAATTTGAGACTGATGCCTGACCACACATTTTTTTGTTTGCTGGACAGCTGCACCTCTGGCCACACTGGCTGCTCTAAGACTCACTTCTTAAACATAAATAACTAGGGAGATAATTTGAGGTGCCTTAAAACCCTTAGGAAAACACTCAGATATAGCATCTGCTCTTCTCCTATCATTTAGTCATTTACCCTTTGAACAGATACATTCTGAAGGCTGACTGTGTGCTAGGCACATTCAGGTATGGGAACCCGAAGCCAATACAAGGTGGGGCTGTGTATACACACACACACACACACACACACACACACACACACACACACACACCCTCAGTTCCTGGCACAGAACATCTTGGAGTTTCCTGAGTGATAGGGACATGTCTTGTCCCTGCTAACAAACCCTGCTCAAGCACCCCTGAGTTCATGCTAATGAGGTGATTCTTGGTCCCCCACTAGGAAGATTCAGGAGGATGGGGGCTAATCAGCAGGAAGACAAAATCATGGTTAGAAGCTTCAAATTTTCAGCTTGGCTCCCCAACTTCCAGCTAGGAGAAAGAGAGGCTAGAGATGAAGTTATAATCACCAGTGACCAGTGATATGAACAGCCAACCATGCCATTGTAATGAGACCTCCACAAAAACCACTGAGCAATAGGGATCCTCAGAGAACTTCGGGGTTGGTGGACCCATGGAGGTGAGGTGCAGCATGCACAGCAAAGAGCAGGAAGCTCCGTGGGCTCCTTCCCTGGCCCCTGCCCTGGGCATCTCTCCTATTGGCTACTCCTGAACTCCACGGTGACCTGCTCATCCTGAGCCCACGAGGTCATTCTAGCAAATGTCCAAACCTACATGGGAAGTTGTTGAAACCTCCTGCCTTGGTGGCCAATTTGGACGAAGTGCCAGCTCCCCAGGGACCCAGTACTCAAGGGCGACACCTGAAGCAGAGGAATTCTTGCGGGATTGAGATCTTCAATTCCAAGAAGTTGCTGTCAGAATTGAATTGAACAGTAGGACACACCCCACCCCACCCCTGCCTCTGCTGGCAACAGACAGTTGGAGAATTTTGTAGGCATTAGAAACACCGCCCTGGGAGGCCTCTTTGAAAAAAATATTCAAATACCTTACACTGTATGTTTAACCAAAACATATAGCTACTGTGTAGCATGTAAAATACACCTCAATAAAACTGGTTAAAATAACAATCTTATAGCCAGAGAAATACATTTCTGGCAGCCTCGAAAGTGAAAGGCCTAGAGCTTCAAGGTTTCCAGAAAAACTCTCCCCTTTATGAGTGGAGTACTGCAGAGGTGAGCAAGAGAGGCAGCTTTCTTCCCACGCAGGCTCATGTTTCTCCAGGGGTTGAGGACTTGAGGACAGCAGGACATAAAGAAGTTACCAGGGAGGAAGATAATCTCAGGGCTGATGAAGGTTATGGAAAAAATGAAAAGGCAGAAAACAAACCATCAAAACAGGGATATTCAGTGCTGCGGTGCAGTACTTGAGCTGGGTTAATTCTTTGCTGTGGAGGCCACTCCATGCATCACAGGGTGTTTAGCAACATCCCTGACCTTTGCTTACTAGTTTCTAGTATCCCTCCTGCCCTAGGATGTGACAACCACAACTATCTCCACATATGGTCAACTGGCCCCTGGGGGAGGGTCACAGTCACCCTTGGGGTGAGAACTGCTATCTTAGAGGAAAGAGCACAAAGCACAGGTGATCAGAGAGGAATTAACCTGAGGGGGACGTCTGAGCTGAAGCCTCAATGACAGAAAGGAAGCCAGTCCCGCAGAGACCAGGAGAGGCAAGACAATGTGGTAAGAAGCTGCAGGAGTCAAAGCTTCTGAGTACTGGGAGGGTCACAGTCACCCTTGGGGTGAGAACTGCTATCTTAGAGGAAAGAGCACAAAGCACAGGTGATCAGAGAGGAATTAACCTGAGGGGGACGTCTGAGCTGAAGCCTCAATGACAGAAAGGAAGCCAGTCCCGCAGAGACCAGGAGAGGCAAGACAATGTGGTAAGAAGCTGCAGGAGTCAAAGCTTCTGAGTACTCTAAGAGGTGTGCGACATAGTCTTTCAAAAGGGTCTTTACAATGTGTGTAGCTATCAAGTGTCACAACTCAGTGGAGAATAATTCAACTAATGTGACTACTGGAAGGAAAATGGATTGCTATTATGATCCTTAATTGGCTCTTTCCATATACCACAGATTATCCCAGGAACAGCCATTCGGAAACCTAAGGTGCAGATTGTTCTTCCCTCAAAACTAAGTAATGTGTGCCCCCTGTGTACTTCATCTGTCTGCAGTGACCACATTTGGTGCCAGTCGACTCAGATTAGACCAGCTTCTTGGCATTCCCATGCATGTATGAAAGCAAAGCACTCAGGTATATATTTCAGTTAGATTGCTTCTCAGCCTGGGCTCCCTTCTGTGCCCTACACCCAGGTGCAGGCTATAACTGTGGGAACTTGGTGCCACTGTGAAAGATCAGGTAACGGCCCCCAAATAGAAAGCATTCAATTACCCAGCCTTTGCTTGGATGCCCCCTATTAACCTATGCACCTCAGGCATCATTAGCAGGCCATTTATAACAAAATTGTAATTGAGGGATCCAGAAATACCATTTTAGATTAGATAATTGAATGCCCCCTTGGTGTAAGATCGATAAAGGGCATCCAATTTCACCCTAGGAAAAACTTATTAAATTATTGTAGCTATAAGCTGATATAGCAGA